CCTCTCTGAAATCAATAAAAATAAAATAAAATAAAAACAAAAACACATTGGTTAGGAAAACTGTTCACCTAATACCTACTTAAAACTAGCAGAGTAATTTCTATAATGACAACTCAAAAGAACATATTATATCAAGACTCTCTAAATATTGTAAGTCCTAAAAGAAGTCTCCTAATATAAGATTTAATATAATAAATGTATTTTTTTTATCTGTAATGTCTTTTTGTCTTAACATTAAGCTTCTGGTAATTTCAACTACTATGTTCTTAACTGTGAATATTTAAAAATCAAAATAAAACAAAAATATGATTTGAAAGAAAGTAAAGAAGGTCTTTGAGCAGCTGAAAGAGCTTCCACAAAGCTCATGTGCTTTATATCATGGAAGAGCCTTCAGATTGTCACTCTAGCCCATTTACTTTTCCTTTATATAGAAGTGACTAGGTTTCTGAACTGATGTGAGCTTCACTAGGCTTCATGAGACCATATATTTTGTAATCCCAATAATAAACACAAAACAGTATTTAGAGTGGGCTCAATCATTATTTAGTTATGAGTGAGAAGATTAGAAGAGGTATTTTGTAGTTGAGGTTGTTGGAGACAAGGACATATGGTTGGGAGACGTTATAGCTGACAGCCTAAAATCTATAGAAAGAGTGAGAAAAATAATAAAAACCAGACATAAAGGTTACCAAATTAAAGACACACAGTTCTGCATATCTTACTAACCTCTGAGGGATTATAGCATAGATACAAAAACAATTGCCATCAACAATAACAATTCTGAGTAATTAGGAAATATTAGATTTTTGTTTAATATTCATTTAATAAAAGCCAAGGAGCTGCACAGTGCACTTTCAAAATATTTCCCCATTGGAGAGGATATTAAAATATTCCCTCAGTTGGAAAACTTAGTTCTACCCCATGCTAGTTTTCCTTCTCAAAATGTAATCATGGTGATATAATATTGTGCATCTTAAAACAATTCCTTGGTTCTATTCCAGGGTGTCTAACTCCACAGTATCTTTGGTAGACATAGAAAATATGCTTTTTCTTTGTCTTTGTGATTTATTAAGTTTCCCAGTACAGAATTTTAATATATTCCACATATCGGATCTTCCTGTTTCAGTTACAAAACAATACAGAATCGGATCAGCGACACAATTTAAACTCGTTAATGCACCCGTGATTCTATATATTTTATAGGTCTGCTTCCCATACTTTTCGTCAACTATAGGCTCTAAAATGCTGCGGAGCAGCAACATCACATGAAAGGGAGTAAAGCACAAGACAAAAGTCAATGTGATAGTAACAAGTAGTTTTATGATTCTTTTCTTTTCACTGTTTTCCGTGGCTTGATTATGTTGCACCGCTTGGTAAACTTTCCGGTTGCAAACCATCATGATGACCAAAGGTATAGCATAGCCCGTACACGTCCTAAAGAAATTGAACGAAATTTGCCAGTTCGCCAAAGGGTAACTGTCATAGCATAGAGTAAAAGTAGACTTATTGGTGCCACAATATTCTGTAGATATATCATCTTCCCACAAAATGGCAGCATTGAAGATGGTTTCTACTACCCAGATGGACAGGCTGACCATGAATGCAAATCTTCTTGTTCTTAGGAAAAAGAACTTCAGAGGGTAGACAACTGCTAGGTACCGGTCCACAGCAATGCAGGTGAGAAAGGCTGTGCTGCTGTAAAAGTTCATGTACATGAAGAAAGCACATCCCTTGCACAGGGCAGGAGAGAAAGTCCAGTTGTCTTGATTCCAAGTATAATGAATCCAGAGAGGGAGAGTGAGAGCATACAGCAGATCGGACAGTGACAAACTGAAGAGATAAATGCCTAATTCGTTTTCTTTCTTTGCTTGCAGAAAAGACACACAGAGAGATCCGATATTGGCTGGAATGCTGACTATTATCACGAAGATGTAAACAATTGGAAACAAATAGTGATCCAGGTCGTGCTGCTCA